TTTTAAAATGTCAGTGCGTTTTTTTTATACGCCGCTAACATCGTGTTGTGCTTAGAGATTCTTGAAATTAAGATTCTCAAACTATACTTGTACTGAAAATTATTCCGCCTTAAAATACGGCGAGAATTTATCGATCGAATTTACTTGATCGAAACATGAACTTAACATGAAATTTGCTATAGAATTTAGGAATACATTTATTAATTCCATAAATCCTCCATTCACAATATAACATAATATTTTCTAAGAAAATCCTTGGCTTAAAAATACATGAATTGTATTATTTAAGGTCTGAAATTTTCTCAGTCATTACAGTTCCACTAAGTTTTAAAGTAACTTCATGAAATCTACCTACAAAATTGATACAAAACTTCGGCAATTTGCCAATCATATGCGTCTATATGTCATGTTCTTAATTTTACACAGATATAGTTTGTTATAGCATCCTTATAGGGGATGCATTGTTAAAGCATAATATAAGTTGAGTTCCATCTTACAGACATATCTAAAACTAATGCTCTAGGAGGTAGATTTAATGTTTATAAGAACCTAAACCAATCTTGTTCTCTTTAGTTACTACCTTGAATTCATGCAATACTATCTCTAATTCTTTTAATGTGAGTAGCCATTTCTTTTAAACTGAATTTAACTATTAAATCAATTACGTGGCATGCACAACGTTGGTGGAAAATAGTACCATGACCTAATAAACTTAAATCATTTTTGAAGTATTCAATTGCTTTAGTATTTGCACTAGCATTATCTAATGTTATAGCTATTACTTTATCTCTTAATCTAAATTCATCAATTACCTTTAAAATTGTATTATATATTAAATCGACGTTATGTGATCCTAAAACACATTTAAAACCTAATATTCTCTTATCTAAATCGAATCTTTTAAAGTAATGTCCGGTTACAGCTAAATAATCTTTATTGGCAACGGCAGACCAAATATCTGTCCTTAACGCAACCACTAGTCGGGTGTAAAGGTTTATTAATGCTTCCTTTTCTTTTTTAAATAATTTTAACAAATCTTTCCTAAGAGTAGTTTTTGAAGTGAACTGTGCATTATGATTACGTACAACTTTAATATATCGTTGCCAATTAGGATACTCTACAAAACTAAGTGATTGATCTAATACAGCTATCATTCACGCAACTTCCATACGATCTACTTGCGGATCATATTTTTAAGTGGTTAGACCACCGGTTGCGCGATCAAAATATAATTGTGTTTGATGAAGTTCGGCTCCGCCGGACTGGCTAAGCTTTTGAAAACACTTTTCGAAGTGTCTTCTCAAGTGTGTTGTGCCGTGAATAGTGTCACCTTATAATTTAGATAAGCAATATTTAAACTGAGCTATATGTTTAGTGTTACCGTCATTGTTGATATCCTCAATTGTGTCGAAGTGATCCCAAAATATTGAGGTGCGCTTGCATTTCCTCTTGGAGGTTGCAACACTTGCAGACGCAATAGCACTTGCACTCGCCGCTTCTCCACACCCACCACCATTGCGACCACGACCTCCAGTACGTCCACCAAGGCTCGGATTAGTAGATTTCTGCGTAATAAATTCATTAGTGGGAAATTGCCCTTCTCCCACGTTGTGTTGGGCATCAACATAAATACCACTATAACTAAAAGAAACCATTACAAAAAATAAGAGCGATTTAATAAAGAGAGCTTTAGGATATTGTGATAGTTTTTGAAAAAATTGTGAGAGAGATTTGAGAGATTGAGAGAGATTGAGAGAAATTGAATGGGATTGAGAGAGTTTGGTGAGAAAAATATGTGGGGGATGGGGAGTATTTATAGAGAAATTTTTGGGTTAAAAAATTAATTCTTTTCCCCCAAATTCGAATCCAACGGCCATTTTTTTTCTCGACGTGTTCAGGCCCAAAATCGGGCAACGGTAAAAAAAAAAAAAAAAAGAGCCGTTGGAGTCGGGCTTCGGGTCGAGTTGAGCGCCAACGGTTAAAAATATAGCTGTTGATCGGGCTCGAGCTTCGAGCAAGTCGGGCCTGAGTGAAAAATTCAAAAAAATTCTAGTGGATGGCAATTGACGGCAGGCTCCGGCAATTTGCCCATTTTCGAGCAGCCCGAGCCCAAAAATGGAACTTGGGCGGGCCGGCCTTTGAGCCTACCAACCGAGCCCAAAAAATTTAGGTTTCGGACAGGCTAGCCGGCCCAAAGTTCCAACACTAGTTATGATGTGTTGCTTGTTGGTTTTTGAATTTTTTCATCGTTTCATTTTTGGCGTCTTTTTCTCGGTAAAGCTATAGGTCTATCAAGTTCAATGACATCGTTTTTGGTATTGAGTTTCTCTTGTTTTTATTTTCCTTTTTAATGAGCAAGAACAAGGAACAAGTTAATTAACTGTTCCAGTGTGGATAGTCGCTCTTGTTACCGCATGCAGTTAGTAGTCTACAAAGGTGGGTTCGTTTTCAAAAACTTCAACGAAATGTCGTCTTTATTAATTTTTATCGTTTCAAGACTTTTGTGTCGTTTATTAAGAGAGGACTTTTCCTTTTTTTTTTTTTTTTTTTTGACCTTTCAGCTATATAATGTTTCCTTGAACGTCACGTCGTTTTTTTAATGGCATGTCTTTAATTGCGGTTTTTTCTTTCTTTTTGTTCAAAAAAAAAAAGAAGAGTCTTTAATTACGATTAGATACCGTAAAGCATCTACAAATATTGCAAAATCATACGTAGCGGGGAGCGGCGTGGATGATGCCGCATCTACGACAGGCGGATCCGGACTCCGATTCTCTTACTTTTACAACGACCAGTATTTGCGTTCCCTTCCCTCCGCGTTCTCCACGTGGCACAGATCACGGGTGCTGAATCCTAAGGCCTGCCACGTGGATATTTAGCGTTAGTCTCAAGCATCCTGATCAACGAAATTGAGAGCTACGTATGTCCTCAGTCCTCAGTCCTCAGATGAGATGGCACCCGCCGCCACCAAATGACAAAGACATCTCTACCCTTTTGCCAAAACGACACACTTTTTGAGTTTGAGGCCAAAGGAAAGGAAGAAGCTTCTCTCCTTGTCTCCTGATCAACTGCTGCCAAGAATTTTTCATCTCTAATCCTATCTATCTCCTTCTCTCCGATTATATATTAGCACTTTCTTCTCTGTCATTTCTTCAGAAAGAAAAAAAATCTGATTTCCCAGGTATGCATCAATGTCTGTAAACTGTCGTGTCTCTCTTTCTCTCTCTTCTCTTAATTTGTTTTTGCAGTTTCAATCGATGAGGAAAATATCTCTCGGAATTATATGATTCTGTGTCTTGTTTGTTTCGATTTCTTTGCGCAAGCTGATATCTTTTGTTTTTGGTTGTTATTTTTTAAATTCTGTCTGAAGTTGTTGAATTATTTAGGACTTATTCTTGCAATCATCAAGTGTAGGCCTTTGAGGAAAATCTGTTACGGAGTATATCCTATTGTGTGTATAATTCAACCGTCGTTTTGCTTTTGTCCATATCTTGTTTTGTTGTCTTTTTTTTTTTTTTTTTTTTGGATGATTTGGTTAAAGTGATTGAAAAATGTGGTCTTTTTTGTTTCCATTTCGATTAGCCGCGACCTTCTTCAAAATTCATTGCAGAATATATGCCATTGGCTTTTGGGTGGGTATTTTCTTTTCCCCGGTGTATTGCTGAGAAAATGTGGGAAAAAAGAACGAAATCGTAATGCTTAATATTGATAAGGATTCCTTGCAGTTTTTCAATTAATTAATTTATAAAACTGATCACATTATGTTTTAGGGATATGCATTTTCTGGATAATCAGCTTACTCAAGAGTAAATTTTTTCCTTTTAAAGGAATGTATAAAAATATATATATTTTTTCATTTCTCGATTTTCCTATAGATAAAATGGTCGTGGTGTATTTCAATCAGTTTAAACTCTGTTTTTCGCACAGGGAATTGGTTGTGAAGGCACACATTTCAAATGGCTTCCTCTGCTCTGATATCTGATACTGACGCTTGGAAGGACTTGAAGGTAACTGAGTCTATATTTACCAGCAAGGTAACGTTAAAGTTCAAAAGATTGTTGACTTTATGCATGATTTTAAATATGCATTATCTGCAGGCCCGTGTTCAGGAGATTAAGGCAATCCATTTACGCGATTTGATGAGCGATGCGCAGCGGTGCCAGTCAATGATCGTGTATGATTGATAATCTTTTAGACATTTTCAATCTTTTAAAATATTCATTTTTGAAATTTTTCTAGAATTGACGATTAAAAATTAATGTGAAATCGCTATTAATTTTGTTTTCAGTTTCATTTGTTTTATTAAGATATAACTAGCGTTATGACGTGTCTGCATTCAATTCCACTTCAGTGAGTTTGATGGGTTGCTTTTGGACTACTCACGGCAGAATGCCACAGTTGAAACCATTGGAAAGCTCTTTAAATTGGCAGAGGTGAAAACAGTGCACTCCATTTTTTTCTCTTCTTATTTATCCATTTCTTTTTACAATTAACACATTTGTTCTCTTCTTGTTCCTTATATTTCTTCTTCTTCTTCAAGTAGTTTGTCTTAACTTTTGTTTTCTCTGACAAATGCAGGCAGCAAATCTCAAAGAAAAGATTAACCGCATGTTCAATGGAGAGCACGTAAGTTCAGGTTTATCTTAGTCAAGTTTTCCGTGAAATTTGTGGATAAAGAGCTTAATAGATTCAATATTTCCAATATCTTACTCCGCTCCTCTTTGAACACAACATTGCTTTCTTTTCGTTGTTGAATATCAATTCGATGGTCTGGATTTGGAGATTTTCACAATGTCGGTCGTAGTGTAGCAAAATTCATAAATTACCTATTTGATTGTTTATTAGTATCTAATGTCGAGCTAAGACTTGTTTACTTCTGATACTATGATTGTCTTGCTTATTTTCCGGGTATTTCATTCAGATAAACAGCACTGAGAATAGGTCAGTGCTTCATGTAGCTCTGCGTGCTCCCAGAGGCGCAGTTATTCAGAGTGATGGGAAGAATGTGGTCCCAGAAGTTTGGAAAGTTCTGGACAAGATCAAGGAGTTCTCTGACAGGGTCCGCAGTGGTTCTTGGGTAATGCACCATAACCTTTTACTACACCTTTGTGAAATGTTATGCTTGAATTCCTCTGTAATAGACAAAGGTTTGGTAGGTCGGAGCTACAGGAAAGCCGCTGAAGGATGTCATTGCTATTGGTATTGGTGGCAGCTTCTTAGGTCCTTTATTTGTGCATACTGCCCTTCAAACAGGTTGCGATCAGACTTAATCTATGTTGAGTTTCATGTTGCAGACTTTTTTTTCCCCCTAAAATAAATTGGTTCTTGGTTTCTTCCTTGAAATATTTAACCATGTTTTTGTCATGTATCGTCCATAATGTTTATGATTTACGAGTGGTATTGTAAAGTCCATGGTGTTTATGATTTACTGGCTGTATTGTGCAGATCCAGAGGCTAGTGAATCAGCAAAAGGACGCCAGCTTCGATTGTAAGTACTAACAATGTCGTAAATTAATGTTTCGACGGTTGCCAGTATCCCAAATTCAGCTTTCTACTTATAGTTGTTACTTTATTATTACTATTTTTTTATTTGGTTCAACTGTCAACGTGGTTGGAAGAATGAGATTGTGTTCAGCTTCTTTGGTGAATAATCCTTAACAGAAATAGACACGCAGAACAATATCTATCTGAAACACGTGTGCACCTAGGGATATTCTTTCCAAGAGCCATTATATAAAAGGATTGTAAAATTTACAATGCTTCAGCAAACAATAGTAACAATTATAAACCTGTAGTATCATAATTTGCTTAGTCACTTTAATCTTCTTTCTATTTATGTATGCAGTCTTGCAAATGTTGATCCTATTGATGTTGCTAGAAATATCGCTGGGTTAAACCCTGAAACTAGCCTTGGTAAATGATTACCTTTCTTATGACTATTTTTAAAATTCTCATATTGGTAGTCATTGCTGGTATTTTACACGAGTTCCTTTCATGCTTTCTCATCTTTGGACCGTTCTCTGACATTTCAGTGGTGGTGGTTTCAAAGACTTTCACAACAGCTGAAACTATGCTGAATGCCCGAACCCTTAGGGAGTGGATTTCTGCTGCTCTTGGGTTAGTGCATTAAATCATGAATACTTCTATCCTATGCCATAACTATACGTCTCTCTCTTATGGTTGTATATAATTTTCAGGCCTTCTTCTGTTGCAAAGCATATGGTAGCAGTCAGTACCAATCTTACGGTATTATCACTTTCCTTTCTTGCATTTGGTGATTAAGCATCAGTTGCATCACAATTGATTCGCTTCTTCTTCTTCTTGGCACAATTAATTTATTGCAAGGCTTTCTGGTCTTTTTTCTTCTTTTTTTTTTTTGGGCGTGTGAGGAGTTTGCTGAAGTAAATCGTGTGTTTTAATTCTCCGTTTGACAGCTTCATTTTCTCTAGATAAAACAAAAGAATTAAAATACTCTGGATGGATACTGACTAATCGTGCACCGATTATATACCATGTTGGGTTATATCAACATAAGCTTTGATTCACCATTTACATTGTTAATCTGGATTTCATCTTGGAGCTAGAACTGTGCATTTCTAAGAATATTTACACTCCAGTTCTGGAGCTGACTTGGTTTCTTGTTGGGAAGTATGTAATTTTATTGCAATCTATGTTTTGTTCTTCCTTTTCAATGTATTTCTACTTTGTTACTGCAACAATTTTCATCATTGTTAGTAATAAATCTTTAGTGAAATTCATTTGTATACTCTCCTTCTTTGTTGCATGTCAAGGTTGTTCTCATCAACTGTTGTTCTTGTTGATTACTTATGATGCAGCTTGTGGAAAAGTTTGGCATTGATCCCAACAATGCTTTTGCATTCTGGGACTGGGTTGGCGGACGGTATAGCGGTAAGTAATTTGCCTTTTGCCGTACTAAGTTTTTTCTGATTGATGTTTGATTGGTACTTGAACTGCCGGTTGCAGTTTGCAGTGCTGTTGGGGTGTTGCCTTTATCTCTCCAGTATGGTTTCTCGATTGTTGAGAAGTATGTAACTCATAATTGCTACAGCTCTACTCTAGTGAGTTCTGAAATTTGTGATGTATACGGTTTTGATCGCACTTCATCTTGCAATCAAAACTAGTTTGAACTCGGAATCTGTTTTTGCTTTTCCAGTGATATGTGAGAAAGAAAGATGAGATTCTGTGTGATCTTGAATTCAAATAATTGTCGTAGTTTTCCTTTACTAGATTATTGATGTCATTAACATAAAAAATTGGTTATGAACTTATTATTTTCCTTTATTCAAAGGTTCTTAAAGGGAGCGTCAAGCATTGATCAGCATTTTTACTCAGCACCATATGAGCAAAATATACCTGTAAGTACCTGGATATCTTCACACGATTGTCCTTGACCTTATCATATTCATTTTCTCGGCAAGGATGTTATTGTTGCTCCTCTTTTTTTGTTCCTTTTCCCCCCTCTTTTCAATTCTTGTCATTTTTTTAAATGAGCTCTCCTGGTTGGATTTAGCACAGTATACAGGTGGGCTGCATTATTATTAGTTTGGGTATATCCTAGTCGTACCCCCTTGGTGCTTTAGCTAGTGTTCATACATTAGTTTCCCATCTATATCGGAGTATCTCTGATATATTCACTATCCATCAATAACATGACATATGTTTTTCAGGTGCTTTTAGGCTTGTTGAGTGTATGGAATGTTTCATTTCTTGGATATCCTGCAAGGGTTAGTACACAATGCTCCAAAGATTTTCTCACACTGCCATCATGTAACATTTTTTAATGCTATATGGTTTTCATTCAGCTGTGAAACTGATAGCTTTTGTTGCTTAGGCCATCTTACCTTACTCCCAAGCTCTGGAAAAGTTTGCCCCACATATTCAACAGGCAAGACTACCATAGCTCTTTGTCTGTGTGCTTTCTTTTGTTTTTCTATATTTTTCTCATTTCTTTTTAATGATGCCTGCCAGCTATTTTACATGCTGTTATCTCTCTTTTTCTTCAATGTAGGTTAGCATGGAAAGTAATGGCAAGGGCGTATCAATTGATGGAGTTCCACTTCCCTTTGAGACCGGTGAAATTGACTTTGGTGAACCTGGAACAAATGGTCAGCACAGCTTTTACCAACTCATTCACCAGGTATCAACATATTTTGTTATCGCCAAAAGTAATTTTTCAACAAGTAATGAGAAAGTCTCTGAATCTACAAATTACAGACTATTTTTTTTGTAACAAGCTTAACGTCTGTTTACATGTTCTGTAACTTAGACTTAAACTTTTTCCGTTAACTTTCAGGGACGCGTTATTCCTTGTGATTTTATTGGTGTTGTGAAAAGTCAGCAACCTGTTTACCTGAAAGGTCTTATCTTAGCCTCTAAGACCAGTAATTATCGTGGCATCTTTTTTCTTGAAAATTGACAGTTCGACTGATACATAGGTATCCTGTATCTTTATTTCAGGTGAAGTGGTGAGTAACCATGATGAGCTCATGTCCAACTTCTTTGCACAGCCAGACGCCCTTGCATACGGGAAGGTAAGTTTGATGCTCGCTCCTCTACATTAACCAACCATTGTGGAGGGATTCACTTGTAAACAAAGTTGACAATCTTTATGGTTTTTCTATTGTGGAAAATTGATCATGCAAGGAAAATTAATTAAAAATAAAAAACAAAAATTACTTTAAATTAATTAGCAAATATTGCAAAAGCAAGGAAATCTCAAATGTCTAAGCAAAATTTTGAAAATTATCTTGCTGCCGGACATATTGGCACATTTTTTCTATGATGAAAGCGTCTGTTTCTTGTAGACCATAGAGCAGTTGCAGAAGGAGAATGTTCCACAACATCTTATCCCTCATAAGGTAATTTCCTGTCACCTTTCAGCTTTATTGATCGCCACACAGGTCAATTTGTAGTGCTAAGTAATTTTTGCGATATCTTTCACAGACCTTCTCTGGAAATCGGCCTTCTCTCAGTCTTTTGTTACCTTCACTGAATGCTTACAATATTGGACAGGTTTGTGGTTTCTTTGGTCCATCGTTAAGTCTCTCTTTGAATTGCTAAAAGTATCCCAGAACTTTAAAAACATGTTACACACATTTGCAAAATAACATCTTTTTGAGCCGATGCTATTAGACTGATCACTGAATTGTTTCGGAGTTGAGGTCAAATCAATTGCTGTTAAGTGTCAATATTGCTATCTTTTTATGATCAACTGCATATCCTTAGCATGTGTATTTTTCTGATTATTTTTCTCCAATAAATTGGTGAATCTGCACAATACAGCTGTTGATTGTATTTACCAACTAACTCTGTTTCTTAATGTTACTTGCCAATATCCAGCTGTTGGCAATCTATGAACACAGAGTTGCTGTGCAAGGTTTCATATGGGGCATCAACTCTTTCGACCAATGGGGAGTTGAATTGGGAAAGGTTAGTATTACCTGGGAAACCTCTCTCGGTTGTATGTACTTTGCTATTACTTCTTTTCCTCCATCACTGTTTTGTAAAGTGAATTCATCTCAAATGACTATTTTCCAATGGACACATGGTGTTCATGTTGTCAATGGGCAGTCTCTAGCTACTCAAGTTAGAAAGCAACTTCATGCATCTCGTACCAAGGGAGAACCTGTTCAGGGCTTTAATTGTAGCACCACAACGTTGCTAACAAGATACCTAGAGGTGTGAAAGCATCGTATCACAGCTAAAAGAGAATAAATTTCTGTTTTCATGTAGTGCAAGAACTTGAACAATTGCGATCCTGACCGTATTTCTCACTTTGCAGGCAAGTTCGGATGTCCCTTCCGATCTTCCAACCCTTCTACCACGGATATAGTTGCCTGGATTTAACATCGGCTTCCAAAGTCGGCTTTACTTTAATTTATCGTATTTGTGCTTGCGATTTTCTCAATGTTGAGCATATATTTGATATCCCATGTACTTAAATTTGGGATGTTTTGTTTGGACAAAACTTTTGGGAAGGAATCCTACAGAGTGTTCTCAAACGTTGCTCAACCGGCACTAGGTTTGTGAAAGAGGCCCAATAATCTAGAATGCTCCATTCTATTGGAAACATTCTTGTATTGTAGACTGCCCAATGTATCAAATAATCAAAATAAACAGTGCCTTTTAACATTTCTTGCGTTTTTTAGTAAATGCACACTGCTTGTCCTCTAGTTGTTTACCGTTTTCTTGATCCATTGGAAAAGATACACTCAATGCTTGATGCCAGGGTTAAGTTGGCATGTTTGCCTGTTTTCTTATATTCTCACTCAAAGTCACAGATTCATTGTACCAGATTAATTTTGTTCTCAATTTATGCATTTAAAATCAGATTCAAATCTATTAAACCTCCTTACATCAAGGAACTAAGGAACTAAGGGCTTGTTCTTTTGAAGTTTAACTTTAGTATAATTCTTAAGTTGAATTTGAATTATAACTTAAGTTGAATTTGTGACTTGAGTTTGTGTTTAGTTGTGTACATTTGAGATATGGTTTGAGATAAGAATCTTTTTGAGTTTGTATTTGAGTGAGTCAAAACCTGAATTTGTATTTAGATAGTATTTTAATAAAAACTCAATGTTGATGAAAAGTTTTAATAAGATATATAAATCGGGTTTTATTTTTCTTTTCATTGTCAACGCATAAAAATAAAATCATCTCAATCAGAATTAAAACGAAAAAGTTATAACATTTTTAAGAATAGAAAAAATATTATTCATTAATTTGAATTCGAGTTTCTGAACTCGAATTGAAGAGGAAACTTGAACTCGAGTTTTAATCCTAAACTCGAATTTGAACTCGAGTTTAAATTCGAATTTAAACTTAAAAGAATATGAACTCGAATAAAGTTATAATTCAAGTTGTCTTTTTTTAAGGTCCCGTTCACTTCACTGATTTGAGTTTAGAATTCGAGTTTTTTTACAGTAAAAAGCTCTTACAAACAATTACATCTAACTTTTTTGCTACAGTAAGATGTAATTTTATGTAAGAGCTTTTTACTGTAACAAAAAAGTTAAATGTAATTGTTTGTAAAAGCTTTTTACTGTAAAAAAACTCGAATTCTAAACTCGAATCAACGAAGTGAACGGGGCCAATTTTTCACTCAAAAGAACAAACCCTAAGTAATTCAATTATCGTGAATAATCGGTTTGCCTGTTTTCTTATATTCTCACTCAAAGTCACAGATTCATTGTACCCAGATTAATTTTGTTCTCAATTTATGCATTTAAAATCAGATTCAAATCTATTAAACCTCCTTAAATCAAGGAACTAAGGAACTAAGGGCTTGTTCTTTTAGAGTTTAATTTTAGTATAATTCTTGAGTTGAATTTGAGTTATAACTTAAGTTGAATTTGTAATTTGAGTTTGTGTTTAGTTGTGTACATTTGAAATATGATTTGAGATAAGAATTTTTTGAGTTTGTGTTTGAGTGAGTCAAAATTTGAATTTGTATTTAGATAATATTTTAATAAAAACTCAATGCTGATGAAAAGTTTTAATAAGATATATAAATCGGGTTTTATTTTTCTTTTTATTGTCAACGCATAAAAATAAAATCATCTCAATCAGAATTAAAACGAAAAAGTTATAACATTTTTAAGAATAGAAAAAATATTGTTCATTAATTTAAATTCAAGTTTCTGAACTCAAATTGAAGAGGAAACTTAAACTGAGTTTTAATCCTAAATTCGAGTTTAAACTTAAAAGAATATAAACTCGAATAAAATTATAATTCAAGTTCTCTTTTTTTAAGGTCCCGTTCACTTCATTGATTTGAGTTTAGAATTCGAATTGAAATGTAATTTTATGTAAGAGCTTTTTACTGTAACAAAAAAATTAGATGTAATTGTTTGTAAGAGCTTTTTACTATAAAAAAACTCGAATTCTAAACTCGAATCAGCGAAGTGAACGGGATCAATTTTTCACTCAAAAGAACAAGCCCTAAGTAATTCAATTATCGTGAATAATCAAAAAAATTCTAATTGTTGGTAATTACAAAATTAAACTATACTTTTCAATTTCTTTCCTGTGGCTTTGGTTTTTTGGTTTGTCGGTGGTGGTTTTAGAATTTGTATGCAGAATAAAATTAGTGTTGGATTTTATATGGAATTTTTTATTGTGAGCAATTGCATAAACCAAATCCAATTACATATCGACATATGCACATATGAGCAACTCATCAAAATGAAAGAAATATTGTACGACATTTAAACATCCGTCACAAGTGCTTCTCTGTGGTGTAACATATCATGGATCGACCCCAGAAAATGAGCATAGCAAATGTTCGACAGATTACCAATTAAAGCTTGTTTTTGCCTTTTCTTTCCCTTAAACTTACTACTAAGTACTAATCCAGCATCTCCTTAATCGCACCACACCGACTTAAAAAAAAAAAAAAAAAGACTAGATCTAAACACCGGTAGAGCCAAACCCTCCACTGCCCCTGACAGTGGCATCCACATCTTCAACTTCCACAACATCTGGTGTGATGATCTTCTCGATTATCAGCTGCGCAATCCTATCACCTTCCTTCACTTCAAAATCAACGTCTGAATGGTTGAAAAGTATGACCCCAACTGGACCTCTGTAATCTGCATCAATCACGCCCGCTCCGACATCGATCGAGTGCTTCCACGCCAGCCCCGAACGAGGCGCTTCAAAACCCAAAACCAAAATCCCAATTAAAAATCTTTTTAAAAAAAAAGTTGATAAACCTAAAAAACAATGAAAAAATTATAATGGGTTTTACCAATTCGTGCGTAGGTTCCTTCAGGTACCGCAATACTCAGATCGGTGGGAATCAAAGCTTTTCCTCTCGCCGGTACTTTTGTTTCAGTCGCACTGTAAATTTAGACACCCACCAAAAAATTATTTTAAAATTTGTTGCGCAGAGACCAAATATTAGGGGAAATAAATAAATTAAATGTGGGTTTACCTTGAGAGATCGTAACCGGCGGAGAGAGGAGAGCCTCGTGACGGCAAAACAGCCTTCTCGGAAAGCTTTTTGACCTTGAAGAATGAGATTATCTCAGCGACGCCGTCGTTTTGGTGAAGCTTGGGGACCTTTGTCGCCGGCTCTTTGATTTCGGGGCTGTTGTTTGCGACTTCTTGTTGGGCCATTCTGAGAATATGAGGGAGACAATTGCAGTGAAATGGGTTTTTGCGAAGAGAGATTATCAGACCTTGAGAACAGGAGAGATTCGATAGAAATAAAGGAAAAGCCATGATTTTTGGTGGGGTTTCGCTTATTGTGGCGCCAATTTTCCCGCCACTTTATTAAGGCATAGCCGAAAACCTCATTTTCCCACTTTTATTTATTTTTTATTTTTTCCTTCTGTTTTTTGGTGGAGTCTATGCGTATGTGGTGGGTTGTCAGTTGTGTTGAATTGTAGTTGTTACTATAATAATAATAATTTGAATTGAGTTATGTGAATTGTTCAACCACGAAATGGAAATTTATACACATATTTGTATTAATTTTAGGGTTAATTTTACAAAAGGTTCTTGAGGTTTATCATTAATCTTATTTTGGTCTTTAAATTTTAAAATGTTTCACAATTAGTCCTTAGGTTTTATTTGTTCATTTCAATCTTTTCGTTAGCTTGTTAAATATTTAACAAAATATGTAAAAGTTAAGAATTAAAATTGAAAACATTTAAAAGTTAGGGACTAACACGATACAAAAAAACAAAAGTTAATTTGATATATAGGGCACGTTTAGATTTCGTTTCAAAATGATTTTATTTTTTGTATGAAAATAAAAATAAAAACGTTTTCAATCTTAGACAGAAATAATTTTTGAAAATGTGTTTGATAGTTTTATCAAGATATTATTTTCAGTATAAAAAAACTCATTAATGTCTCTTTTTCTCTCTCTCTGCTCAAGGGAGGAGAAAACGAAAACAAAAAATGAAAACCGACTAAAAGTCATTTTTCATTTCTCTCTCATTTTATACTAAACCAAAAAATCGTTTTCATTTCCGTTTTTTGTCTTTATTGCACCAAACGTCGTTTTGAAAACGTTTTCATTTTTTCTTTCTCGAAAAATGTGAAAAATAAAAATAGGATCAATTCTAAACACGGCCATGGTCTCTAAATTTTAATTGTTTTAATTTTTGGTCTATAATTTACATTGATCCGTCAAAACGGAAAGACTGAAATTAAAACAGAGAAAAACTTCACGGGTCAATTATGGGAAATTTTAAAAGTCAGGGATCAGAGTGAGATTGAGGGTAAATTTCAAACCATTTGTGAAATTAACCCTTAATTTTACAATGTCCCTAAATGATGTATACGTTTCAATGTCCTAAATTTTTAAAGATTTAAATTCATAAATAGTTCCTAAACTTTTTATCTCTATATAATTAGATTTTGTAGTTAGTTTTGTCACATAAATAGTCCTTAAACTCAATAAGTATCTTATAAATGATCCATCTGTTAAATTTTACATGGAAATTGTTAATTTTATTTCGTAAAATGTTATTGAACTATCTTATCTCTTTAGAAATAGTGTTTATATTAAAAGTTAAAGTAAATTTAATCCTTAAACCTAAAAACAATGAAAAACTAGTTCTTTTGTTAATAAATAGATATAAAAAAAAAATTTAATATAAGAAGTTATACCAAACAAAGCCCCTAAATTGAAACAGAAAAAAGTGATTTTATAAACACCCATTAAATTTCTAAATAACATGACATAAATAATAATAATTTAGTAATTTTTTATTTTTTGCTATAGTACAACAATGCTTGTAAAATAATTGTGGTATGCACTTTGTTGTGTTATAGATTGTGAGTTGCAGTTAATTATTTTTACTCTTTTTTTAGAGAACTTTTTTTTCCCTTTTAGTCTTGAAGGATTCTAACAAATGGGTAAGATATATATAAATATTGTCTTCTTGATTAAATTTTGAATGTACTGGATTTCAACTTTTTGTTCTTTTTAAATGAAATTTTGTTTATTATTATTGGCGAGAGAAATTTGTTTTTTACTACGAAAATATTTTTTCTAAAAAAAATACTGAAGTCACAAATTGATAGGTTAAAATGTTAAAATGAATAAATACAAAAAATATTTATAAAAGTGTACGTTTTTAAAAGTTATTATTATCAAATGATAATAATAATAATATAGGAGCATGGTCGGACAAATATAATCACTCAAAAAGAATTATCAAAGTTACATATGTGAATAAATAGATAAACTAATGTCAAATATGCGTAGCAAAAAAACTAGTTTTATATTTTTTTTTATTTTAATAATTACACTTGATACAACTTCTCACATTCAATGTTTTCTATCTATTTATTTTAAAAAAATAAACTAATTTTGACATATCTTTTTTTTTAAGAATTAAATTTAGTACAACTTTTAATATATGGACTATTTTTAAAGAGAAAATATAGTTTAAAGATTTTTTATAAGACAAAATTAACGGTTTTCATCAAAAATTTAACAGAATGACTATTTATGAGATAGTTATTTAGTTTATGGACTATTTGCGTGACAAAATTGACTACAGAGACTAATTTCATAGATAAAAAAATTCTTGAATTATCCATGAATTGAACTCATTAAATTGTTAATTTCACTTCATCAAGCATTCGAAATCATTTTAAAGGGCTCTTCTGTTGTGTGATGCTAACTATAATCTTGTACCCTTGAATTATTGATCATATGTTAACTTATTTTGTAAAAAAATGGTTATAATGTTTAAAACAACAATTTCAACAAGATCCATCCACAAAACTAATACATGTTCAAATTGGGTTAACGAAGGTGATTTTGTAAGATTTGCCCGACTTGGTTCAAGTTTACTTTGGAACCCTAATATAAATATTATATACAGTAAAAAACATTAAATAAAAAATAATTTTGTAAAATTTCCCCACCTTTTTATTGTGAGGAGAAGTCTATTCAAAATGGGTTAATGCACGTCGATACCAAATCAACCTGTGGAATTTCAAATTCCCAGCCCGTAAATGAATTTATATATACTTAAACAAGTCAAAGAATTGACTTATAAGAATGTCATGTGTTGGACTTTATAGAGGCCACATATTCACCTCTTTTTTTTGTGATTCTCTCTATTTTTCTTTTTTTTTAGACTTTTTTTATATTTTTCTTCCCTCTCTTTTTTTCCTACCTATTCTCTTTTTTTTTTTTTCAATATTTCCTACCTATTGCCTTTAGCAGTATTATTTTTTTTATTTCATTTACTAAATGTGAGTGAGTTTTTAGATATGGACTAACAAAATATAGGATGAATTCAACATACAGATGTTTCGTTTGTCTTTTTATAAAAAAAATCTTATGTTTATAACCATGACTCATTAAAACACCTCTGCCTAATTTGAAAAGTGTATTTTGATTGTTTTGCTATTTTATTCACTTTAAATTTTGTGTTTTCTAATTGTGTGTTATTAAACTTTACACCGTAATATTAAATAATTTTAAATATGCACTTGCCTAAATGATTTTTTAATATATACTTAAACAAGTCAAAGAATTGATTTATAAGAATGTCATGTGTTGGACTCTATAGAGGCCACATATTTGCCTTTTTTTTGTGATTCTCTCTATTTTTCTTTTTTTTAGACTTTTTTTTATATTTTTCTTCCCTTTGTTTTTTTCCTACCTATTCTCTTTTTTTTTTTCAATATTGCCTACCTATTGCCTTTAGCAGTAATTTTTTTTATTTCATTTACTAAATGTGAGTGAGTTTTTAGATATGGACTAATAAAATATAGGATGAATTCAACATACAGAATGTTTCGTTTGTCTTTTTATAAAAAAAAATCTTATGTTTATAACCATGACTCATTAAAACACCTCTGCCTAATTTGAAACGTGTATTTTGATTGTTTTGCTATTTTATTCACTTTAAATTTTGTGTTTTCTAATTGTGTGTTATTAAATTTTACACCGTAATATGCTCTCATTTAAATAATTTTAAATATGTACTTGCCTATATGTTTTTTTTTTGTTAATATATATTTTTTTGATGTATGTGTTTAAAAAATATAACATATTCAATACTCACGTGTATAGCGCATATTTCAACTAGTATGAAAAATAAAAGACCCATATGCAGCCCATCCCATACGATGATACAAATACGAACAACGACACAAATTATTTTCTCACCCTTCATCCGACGACCCATATAGTTCCATTACCACGATCCTGTTATTGTACCCATTGTAATACCCATCTCTCTTCTCCCCACCTTAGGAGATGGAGAAAGTTTTATAAATGTGTATTATTATTGTTGTTAAAATTCATTTACTATTTTTTACTAGTTGGGAGCACATGTTCATTCAACATGTTTCTTTTTTTTTTCCATATGGAAGTCCTAATTTTTTTCTTGAAAATTTTATAGTTTATGTTTTTTTATCATTATTTTTTTAAAATATAATTGCAATAGAAAAATATTAAATATAGCAACATTAATAGAAAAAAATTTTAAAGTGAATTAGGCAAAAAATTATTTAGCGGTACTACATGAAAGAAATTTATTGAAAAATTGCAAATAAAATGTTTATAATACGCATTTGATAATAATATAATAAAGATTATTTGTTGGGCATATATAGTAAAAAAGTATTTGAGACTCATTTTGTAAGACAAAAAAACTATTAGTACATATACGAGAATAAATTATTTCAACGGGAAAATTAATGAAAAAATTGGGTCACATATGAGTCAGGAAAAAATGTATTGTGTAGGGGAAAAAGGGCGGGAAAAATTAAGTGAGGGGAAAAAAGAAAAAAGGAGAAAAGAAAGTGAAAAAAAAAATATTGAGCTTATATAATAATAAAAAAGCATTTGAGAGGATCATTTTTTAATATTTTTATTTACATTCTTATCAATCATTGATGTTTCTTCCATTTCATTACATTATTTTTTCTTTTCTAATTTGTCAATTCAAATATTTCTTACAAATATCATCCCCACTCAAATATTTTTATTAGTTTTGTTGTTTGTTTTTTACACTAAAATATTTTTTTCAAAAATATTCTTAATCATACATTTTTCTACTTTCCATATGCACACCCTAATTAGTTTTTATATTTGATTTGTTTTTAAATATGTTTTATATTTTCAAAAACTACTGAAATAATTATTCTCAAACATGTCCTTACTGAAACATCTTTTTTCTTTTCTATGTGTGCATACTAATTAATTTTCGATTTGATTTTATGTTCCATAAAATTGGATTTTATTTCACAAACATAGATAATATTATTCTTATTATAACTAAAAATAAGTTAACGTAATAACTGTTTTAAGT